AAAAAAACCGAATTGATTGACCCCGACTCCACCTGGTACGAGTCTGTCCTACCCCTAGAGTGGTTTTAAAGAGCCGGAGGCGCGTAGGGGGAGCAGCCTCCGCCTGCGCAGCTTTGGCTTGTTGGTCGCCTTCAGCGACCAGCCTCAGCCGCTCCGGCTCGTCCGATGCCTACTATTTGTTACGCTAAGGCGTAGAGGCTGCCTTCCCGCAGCGCCGGAGACATAGCAGTCTCAAAATAGATACAGAAATCCTTCTGAATAAGTCCCCCTATATTTTATGATGAAGGGGATTTTTTTCTCATAAAATGGATTTATATTTACATTATAAATGCAAACATGAAAAAAATATAGACATTTTAGAAATCGATTTTTTGGGAATCGATACATCAGCTTACAATTCGAATCTATTTAAAAAATCGATCTTTTTCGGAAAGAATCGACATCCCTACTGACAATAACAATAAAAAATGGCGTCAGTTTTATTGTAGGATTAGACATAAACAATGCAAGAATAATTGATTTTCAAAATATTTTTTCTCAAAAATTTCGCGCTTCCGCATGTTGTAACTTTGTGTGTGTGCTTATAATAGTGTAACTTTTCTGTAAAAATATGTATAAACCCCTAACTCGACGGGAGTCAAAGGAAAGTCGTAATCCACAGACTGCATAGAGACACTCATAATATGTTCCGTTCTAAGTATTAGTGCATTCTATATTTGCTGTCAATTTATAATGTGCAACTTATTTCGGAATACTTCCCATATCCCCATCTAAAAATGATATTATTGATAATACTCTACAAAAATAAATAAAAAATCTAAAATAAAATCTAGTATTTAAAAAAAGTAAACGCATCATGGTAGTGCATAGACACAGTATCTTATAGACTAAACATTCAGTGACTCATCAGCGTGTGAAAGGAATGCACGTATATAGTTAGACATAAGAGTAAGAGAGAAGCAAATCTATATTTCTTGTCTTTTTCTAGGTATGCGTTTTTGATTGTTTTCCCTCCTTTATTTGACATTAACGATGTCAAGCTCTTTTGAATAATATTGATATTACAAGCAAACAGGTAATTGAATTTAGAGTTTTTTGTGGATCTTAGTTATTAGGTAAGGGGAAAAAGATGGTAAGTTGTAGCATAGGATGCAACAGCATCAGTCAACGAAAAATTGATAATATTACCTTTCATCGGTAAGTTTGTTTTGTGCTTACATTTGCTACTTGTACTGATTAATATCTATTGTTTTGAATATAAAGTGTAACATTTCATGTTTTTAATGAACTTTGTGATGTATTTTGTCAAATATTTGGACTCCCAAATTGTAAATTCTTCATGATAATGCTCCTTAATTTGAACGGTCATTCGAAAGCTTAAAGTCATAACAAATGTGTACTTTTTGATTTGGTAGGATTATAGGAACTTTAGGGATATCAGCGAGTACAATAATGTTTTCGCATTGTTCAATAATAATTGTTATTGTGATTAGTAGTTATGTCCATAAATATGAATCACATAATGTTATACACATACATATACTTTTATGATCAGCTTTAAAGGAAACTCCTTATTGCCCTAAAACTCTTCAATCATTTTCCTTATTACATAGACGTCACAAATAATATTATGTAAGTATCAACCTGAAAACATGTTTGGATTCAAGTACATAAACATTGGGCAAAGTATATTTAATTTCACAAAATATGTATTGCCTGAAATCAGATGCACAAAACTTTATTGGATTCCATTAATTCTATTATACATTAGCAACAATTACATTACGATATTTATATAAAAAAATATGTAATGCTAATATAAAAATAAATATAAATATAGATAAAATAATAAATAAATAAATAAGTCTTAATCTTAAGGTACACAATAACACAACAACATAAGATAATATTCCCAATTAATGACGTAGAAAAAATTTGATGATAATATACTTACCGTTACCATTAGTCAGTATCAAAAGTTATAGGTTTTGTGATAGTTGCCTAGCTTGGCAGGAGAATTGGCAACTGCAGTTATTTGCAGACAAACTGTGTGGGAGGTCTATGTTCAGCGGTGGAAGACATTTGTTAGGCTGTAAATGTATTAATTAACAATATCTAAAGCTTAATATGTACATAATTTTTTAAATATTTGGTATGAATAATATTATCATTAAATTTAAATATACTTGCTATTTAATTAAATCAATTGATATTGTTTTAATTGTTATAGGTATTGTATTTATGCACAGATACACATACTTGATTTTTTTTGTTAAATACCTTGATATAAAAGTCTACTGTATATTTAATATATTAATTTCTTTTAAATATATTATTTCACAGTCGTTTCCTTAGGAATCATCTATCTGTAACAGTTGGATAATCGCTACTGGTGGTGCTTATAGGTAACCAACAAAACTTAGCAGTGTATGCTCAAAACATTTTAAGCCTCATTGTTTTAGGTGGACTAAATATGCTTAACTTATGTAATTTATAATATAATGAAGATAATTTTTTTAAATGTTACAATTTCTTGTTGTATCTTGTTGTTTCTCCATAAGTGATATAAGTTTGACCTTGTTGGTAGTTATGATTTTTGACATTGTTTACCATGTTATGTGCAAATATTGTTACCATGTTTTATTTAAATAAAAGAAATAAATAAGTAATTTAAAGTCCTGACCTAAATATACAAATGAATAATTTATTATGCAATAATAATTGTAAAACTGACTGGGAATGCCTACTAATGGGACATTTAGTCCACCCTTAATCCCTTTTATAAAGGTGTTATAAACATTAATGTGTAAATAAATTAAGAAATAATAATTTATAATATTAATTAAGAAATAAGAGATAAGTTTTACCTATCTAAGTATAGTTTAGGAGTTGTACCTTATTATTTGTACCATTAAAATATATTATATACAAGGCAAATAATATATATATACACTCCCTTCTAATCTGATTCTAACGACTAGCACCCAAGAATTTCTGCCATGCAAAAGTATAAATCAATGAATAAAACTATTTTTACGGATTTTATCGCGTTTAATTAACTTATTTTACATTCCCGACGTTTCGGTTGCTTTCCAGCAACCGTGGTCACGGGGGACTGAGGTGATTGACGTCCCGATGTCAGTGTTAAACCGGAGTACCTTCAGCTTTTTTAATTAATATTTTTTTAAAAACAACAAAACTCGACACAAGGAAATTTTTGTTTATTATTTAATATTTTTATTCTCAATTAATATTTAAGTACATACATAACATATTGTTATTTATTAGCGATATCACACTTTGTGCTATTAGCGCCTTCACTTAGTGCCGTCGAAATCCAAAGAGTTTATTGAATGTCCAGTAAAATCGTCGATGTGCCGTTGAATACAGAATGATGATTCTGTTTTTACGCCGTTTCCGCCCGTAGTTTTTGTCACAGAATGTATTTTCAAGAGAAATTAATTAATCATTTGAATTATAAAAGAACATTTTTTTATGGTAACAATTAAGTTTTTTGTATGAATGTAAGTGCTGTGAATATAAATAAGCCCATAACGGGGGAAATGGAACAATATCTGGTAACCCAGTGAAAGTACCTCCCACCTATTTCTATCTCAAAAGCATACACGAATGCTTTATCTAGTCAGTCCTCTATCTACGTGGTAGTGTTATTTTAGTGTTATGATGAAACGTGTACCACAGATAAAAACGGGACGGGTTTAGATGCGTTCAAAATCTATAAAATGTAGTAAGGAAATGAGATAAATTACTACAACATTTCACTAAATTATTTTACCGGCTCCAATAAAATAAGTTGGACCCCGTAATTTAATATACACCTAAGTCACTATTTTTTGACGTATCAATCATTGGTGGTCGTTTCATATTTTGGTCAAGTCGTATTTGGCCGATGTTCTTTTCAGAAATTGACTAAGTTTATTTTTTATTTTCATAGTACATTATTTAGACACTGCATAGCCGATTACTATGCAACACATGACTCTAAATTAATCTATAAACAAACTTTTGTGAAATTAACCCTCGACCGGGGAATCGAACCCTGAACTTTCGTTTGACAATTATATTGAATCTATTATTCGGAATGCCTTATATAATTTAATAGCAATAATTTTAAAAGACAAATTTATTTATTTTTTATGTAATCAAAAAAGACAAACTATTTTTAAGCATGTCGCCAACAGGTAAAGACCTGTTATAATAAACATTTCATGTTTGTTTTGATTTTAGGTGTTTTTGACTTAACCTTTAGGGGTAAAATATTTTTTGGACTTGGTAACACTGTCATTCATTATATTTTTCGTCTACAGGCATTTTTTAATATAAATTGTATTTAAACTAAAGTATTACTTTTTAATATTGAAAATTAATTGATCGTGTCGATTATTCATTTCACTTTTATTATACTTCTTTTTTTTCATTTCCATCATATCGTTATCATATCGGTTAGTATTTCTGGTATTTCAATAATAAACTATTAAGAAGTCTTAGCGTGTTTTTATGTCTGTTCAGTAGGAATGATACATACTTGCTAAATCCAATACCGGGGTTTCTAAGTACGATTAAGTATGTAAAAATATCATGACCGAAAAGCAACTTGAAAGTATTTGTAGTATTTGTTCGTGTCACCCACAAACTTGTACCTCCCGTCTGCCAACACCCCGAGTCTGCCGAGCCCTTTCCCGAGTCTATAAAAACACTTGAAATATTGTTTGAATTTAATTTATACTTAAATTAATCTTGCAAAAACAAATAAAACTCCATCTTTCCATAAAACCTTTACCAAATTTCACTTAGAGAATAAAGACACTCAAAATAATATAAGAAACAAATGTTAAGTGTATGACTGACCTTTTTTTGGCTATAGACCTTTAAGCCAATACCACAACAGTTGAAAAAAAATTCCAGCTCTTTGCTTTAAATTTTGATAAATTTGTTTTCTATTTCTATTATCTATGGTCGCATATTTTCACATTCTGTTCAGTCCTTGTTTGTGTAATATTATTTTGGCTAATAAAGTGATAGCAAATAACTCATAAAAATTCTTTGTGTTTGTTAACAGAAATGGTTGATGTCAGAAACTGACGACGTACCAATACATGTTAACGTCGTCATCAAGTGATTGTCCTAGAATGTGTGCTATCTATATATTTTAACATAATTTATGGGCTATACATTTTTTGGAATTGCAATGTTGCGTAGATAGTTTTGTGCGTACCGCGTGTGAAATGTCACAACATGGATACCCAGAAAGACTGTCCAACAGGTCGAAGGGTTTTCAGGAAGATGGCCCTAGTCAGCCCACTATGGAAGTGTTGGTCGAAACTCTTACAGGGACAGCTTTCGAAATGACAGTGTCGCCGTCCGACACAATATTTGCTATAAAATCGAAGATATTCAGAGTAGAAGGTGAGTATGAGCCGGATACACTATTACACAACTTATTCGTATTTCATCGTTTATTTGCTATAAAGAGATTACGTTATTGTAATTGAAACATCAAATCTTGAGTATAAACTAATGTAAATTACTAATTACACTTATGATTCACGATGTTTCTAATATCTGTCCCACAAGATGTCCAATTTGTTACAACCATGAAATATTGAAATAACAAAGATTTTAAAATAATACTAAGACTTACTGAGGACTTTATTGAACCATTTATTTAAAAAAAAAAAATGAAAACGAATTCTCATTAAAGATAATGGATGTATGAAGCACTATCAAACCAATGTTAGTAATAATCAGTGTCAATAAACAAATAACTACCTAATAGAAGATACTACTGTGTCACAGTAGTTATCTCATTAAAATAAAATTTAATTACATCATTCAGCATCTTTATTATAACACCTTATCAAAAGTCCACAAGACACAAGACTTAAGTGTATTTGTCACAATTTAAAAAAAAGGACCATTGTTAGGTGTATTTGTCCTGACTGCAGATGGACAGAACACTTACTATATATATTATTTATGAGACTTGGTTTTCTCATATTGTTTGTTCTAAATATCAAGTAAAGGATAAATAACATAACATTATACCTGTAATCCCCAAGGGGTAAGCAGAGTTGAAAGATCAGCAAGCTACTCAGACCATGTTTGACCAAAAATATGGTTCTAATGGAAAATTGTGAAAGAGGTGGCTTGCCATTTAGTGGCTAAGCTTTTATGACATGTTATGCAAGTAACAAAGTTACATTTTTTGGTTTGTATAACATTTCATATTGTAAAATTCACAAAAAAAATCCCACTGGGTTTCTTGCTGGTTTTTCCCACAACAGATGTTTTTTCCAAACCAGTGGTAAAGTAAAAAATTACTTTCAATAACAATTACATAGATGTGATCTATGTATTGAATAAAAGTTATTCTATTCTATTTTGTTTTTGGTATGAACATGGGAATTCTCCAAATCCAGTCCTAGATCTTTAGAATAAATTTGACTACAATTCCAGCAGGGAAGCCTCTAGGGATTGTACTAGAGTTTTTCCTTTTCACATAGGAAATTATGTATATAACTCATAATAATAAATTAGCCACTTACCATAAGATGGAATGAAAGTTTGTGTTCATAGCTCTTTGCTCAAATCATACAATGTTGATAATTTATTCTTAGAAGCAACATATGTAGCTGAGTGTAGGCCAACTTGTATTGATAATATTTTCACAGGTGTTGAGCGAATCTATAAACTAATCATTCTGAAACTAAGTTCAGTGATTTTAACTTATTTCAGAATTATGAATAATTATTTTTCATACACCTGGTCTTACTACCTTATGTGCACCAGAAACAAGAAAGTTACAACAAAGTTGTTGTAACTTTCTTTTTGTTAAAAGGGAAAGTTGTGTTTGTTACAATTAATCAAAAATGCCTGGAGACTTAGAAGTAATATGGTAAAAAAGTTGCTTTCTTACAAGAACAATGCTGAGTATTTACATAGTGTTATTTAACCTTTTAAGTGAATTTAATAAAACATGTACTTGAAACATTATTTAAAACATTATCCTGTAACACTTGCCAAGGCATTTAAAGAATCGATGAAGGTTGTAATTCATAAGAGCAGAGAAAGGCTACCATGAAAGATGTGAGTGTGTGTGCATGCTTGTGCATGTGCACGAGAAACAAAAAACTTTTAAATGATTATTTATGTCTTAATTGCATGCAAATAACCTTAGTTAAAGAGAAGATAGCTACATTAATATTACAGACTTCAATTTTATTTATATATATAGATGAGTAATCACTATGTAAGCTTTTGTTTATTTTTAAAAAGAAGTGAAGTGAGAGCTGGTGTTTTCTCTTGGCCATACTCCAACTATGACTTGTCATTGCAACATTAGTGTTATTACTATTATTATTACACATAGGTAATTCAAAAATCTACACACAGTTTTAAATTATTAAATAAATTGTTAAATTTTGATAGGCAGTTATATGTAAATAATTATAACTTTTAACAAAAAGTAAAAACCAACTTCAAATAGCTAAAAAAAGGTTTATTTGCTACCCTTAGGCATGAAATTTTTTCTTTAAATTGACCACCCTTGAAGTATAAACTATTTAATAAAAAAAGAATCATCAAAATTGGTTCACAACCTGCGAAGATATTGTATAACATGTACATACAAAAAAAACATGCACTCGAATTGAGAACCTCCTCCTTTTTGAAATTGTTTAAAAATGCATCCAATTAAAACAGGCTGATGTCATCAAGAAAAGTTAATTAAGGAACAACCACTTTATACTTTACTATTTCACTACAAAAGATGACTTACGTACAACTCTTAGTTATTGTAAATGTATTTTTTTTTAAAGAACCTTTCCACATAGCTTACACTTAATCTATACAAATAAATAAAAATAAAGTGTCTGTTTGGAATGTTAAAATAACAGCTTTATACTAAATGCATATGAAAGTGTATATAATAGTTATATTAACAATTTTTAAAAAAATCTGTCTGTCTGTTTGTTTTGACTAATCTCCTAAACGATTGGACCGATTTCGACAGGACTTTCACTGGCAGATAGCTGATATTATAAGAAATAACTTAGGATAATTTATTTAAAAAAAATAGGGTTTAGTGCAAAAAAAAAACCATGAAATCCAATCGTAATGAATTCCACGCGGGCAAAGTCCCGGAAAACAACTAGCTCTGATATAAAAAAAATTATTCACAGGCATCCCTGTATCACAACAGCACCTTGTGTACAACTTGCGCGAATTGGCCGATGGTGCCTCTTTACGGGACCATGGAGTTTCTGCTGGCGCTAGACTTCGCCTCGTGCTGGCTCTGCGAGGCGGACCTATCGCAACTCGTCGGCCTCCGCCCCCGGAAAGGCCACCTCCTGATAGGTTTGTATAGAAAATGTAGATATTACAGCAGGGATTCACAAAGTGGTCTAAAAATCGACCCTTATTAATTAAGCACAACTTCTTATTTGAAATTTTCAAAATACTGTATAAGTTGTGTTACGTGTACCAACTTGTTATCCCATTCGTTGCGCTGCACGCACAACGGCGTAATTTAAATTGTCATTCTTAGGCGGATGACACCGATCGGCGTAAATTATATTTTAGCCATAACTTGGCCAATTTCTATTCTAAAGGGATATACTTTTTATATGTGCATACAACATCTTTATAGTTTCCGTTTCTGTAAATAATGATTTTAGAAAAATGACAAAACTATACTCAGGCGCGGAAAACGCCGAACGGCGTCTTCCAGAGGTTATCGACATTGAAAACATTTGTATTAAATAATTATATATTATTTATTTTAGCTAGGTATTTTATTTTATAGAATTAAAGAACAGTAATAGGTTCATACTATGAGCAATCTTCATTTCATAGTTGATAGTTAAACATTTTGCTGCGTTGATATGATTCGCTAGTTTTTTTTATATATTCTTCATCATCTCTAGTGTAAAAAGGAAAAAAAAGAGCATCCAGAAAATTACAAAAACGGCTTATTAATAAAATCCAACATCTTGGATTGTTAAAACCGTTCATATAGGTAATCATTATTTCGCATACTTGTGAGAGTAGGTACTTAAACAAAACTACAACTACGTAAGTGTTCATAATATTTATTTAATAATATCAACAATCATCAAACAACATGTAGGCTCACATCGTACCTATGCCACAAACATTATTCCGATTCTTCTTAGTTGGGTAAACTTATATCGTCCACATCCTATTGGTGACGTACTTTCCTCACAAGATTTATTATATTAATATATGTTACAGATCTTTTTTTCATTGGAACGAGATCTAATTCGTAAGCGATCAGTTGAGCAAACGCTTTGTTTCGGTGGTCAGTTCGTTCCCCGTTTTCAAAATTCAAAATCGGGTAATTGTGATACGTCACATTTATACTCATTAGAATCGAAAATGTTGCGTTTATATAAATTTGCATCCTGAATGTCCTGTGACTTTTCGCATCACAATTTTCAAGATGATAATGTTGATCATCACATGGCTTTCTTTTTAGCGAACCAAATTATCTCACACCGTTACTCAATAAACTCAGTGACGATGGTCGAGCCTTACCTTCCAAGACCACCAAGAGAAAGTCATTATTAATTATTAAGTGAAACAAATTACGATGCACTAGAAATAGTATGTAACTGAAAATCCCTCTCTTCTTTTCAACTACTAATTAAAAACACTACTTATTATACTTAATACATTTAAAATAGTACACTAAATACTACCTAGTCAGGTCATAAATTCTGTCACATGTTTAATATAAAATAATTGAAACAAGTTTATTCATTATGTAACAATTTATATACCAAAATGAACTTAACAAAACATAGATTCTTATGACACTAAAGTTTATTCAAAATGACCTCCGTGATTTTGAATACAGGCCTTCAATCTGCGCGGCCAGTCGTCTATCGCAGCACGAACGTGGTCCATGTCAATATCGGCGGCTGCCTTAATCAAGGATGTCTTGAGTGACTCCAAATTGGGATGAGGCTTTGAGCACGCCTTTTCCTCCAAGTGTTGCCATTTTTAATCTAACGGATTCAAATCTGGACTGGAGGAGGACCAGTCTTCGTGCCGGATGAAGTCGATTTCACGCGCCGCCAGCCAGTCTTGTGTGCTCTTCGCTCTATAAGCTGGCGCCGAATCTTGTTGGAATACCCAGTGCCTGTTATTGAACATGGTATGAGAAACAGGTTCCACAAGGTTCGTCAGGACTGTACTTTGATACACAACTGCGTTCGTTTTTACACCTTTCTCACAAAAATGTACCTCTGTTAAGCCCCAGTAAGAAACTCCCAACCATACCATGAGCGAGGATGGAAAATGACCTTGTTGGACACGCGGAATACGGTTGCTCGCTTCTTCACTACTGTGTGCGTACACCTTATCATTTTGTTTGTTGTAGCTCTCTTCTACGGTAAAATTTTTTTCATCCGAAAAAAGAATTTCCCGATATTTTTTTCCCGCGTACCGCTTCAACAAAGCGCGGCATCTCTTCAGTCTCAGGTCCATTAGACGAGCATTCAAACGATGTCCTGTTTTTCTTCGATATGCCCGAAGCCCTAAGTCTTCATTTAACACCCTTTTCACCGTGGTTCTGCTTAACCCCATCTGAAGGGCCAACAGTTTCTGCTTACGTTTGGGATTTCTTTGAATTCGCGCCTTCGCAGCTTTTATCACTGCTGAAGTCCTAACAGACCGAGGGCGACCACTTCTTCACCTGTCATCTACACTAGAGTTCACTTCATTGTATCGTTTGATGATACGATAAACGAATCTTTTGGTTATATTCAAATTTTTCAGTATGTCAAAAATTTGAATTGGCGCGTAACCGCAACGATGCAACGCAATAACTGCAACACGGTCTTCTTTAAGCGTCCACTCCATATTTAAAAATGAGTAAAATTCTAAAAAGTATACAGTTTTATTTTCATGAACAATTTGAAATTCGAATTCAATAAACTTTTTTGTGGCCAGCATTCTTAAAGAAAAGTTTTTACTGTGTGACAATACTTATGACCTGACTAGGTATTATTAAAAGTATTTTTAACTTTAAAAAATCAGAAAAAAGGTATGCAATCAATCCCTGGTCATATTTCAATAATATTAAAAATATTAATATATTACCAATTTCGTTATTCAAAGTGTAATTAGAAAACTTCCTATAATGTGGAACATATCTCTTACTATACTGAATAGAATAGAAACAAATTCACTCACTATTTCCAGCCATATTTATGGTAAATAGGAAATCGCTAGTATTTTTAATAAAAATTCATTGTTTTAATCACAAAATAACTTATTATATACAAATGTAACTTGGCCACTGAATACGCAGTCACTTGATATGGCGTAAACTGATAAGCGTCAATAAAATTCTGTCTAAACAAGGAAGAATCATTTTCATGTGCGGGAAACGCCGATCGGTGTCAAAGTGTTTAAATACGAGATGCGTCCGACGCCTATCGGAGTTAGCTCTTTAAACCGCCCGCCCCTGCGTAATAAAGGCGATTTTTCGAGCCGCATTGAATGGGTTATAAGAATGAGTGATATTTTTTTTTAATTATATTTTTTTTAAAAATACTAGTAATGCTATTAAACATTACTAATATTCCCTTTAACTACTTCTGGTAAGCTTAAAATGCTTGTGTTAGAAGTGGTTCACGAATGTGTTAGTAGGAACTATTATTGTTGTACGAGGGGAGGTCAAAAAGTTCACGGAATGACTGGGATGAAATTAAACATTAAATTATTTTTCCTTTTCAATATATTCTCCCTTTCAAATAACTTATTAATACCGTCTAAAAAAATATTTGTCTTGGACGTCAAAAAAAGGACGTCAAGAAATTGCCGACTTCACTTCATTATCGTCGCACAAAATTTTTCCTATGCAGTTCTTTCTTCATTTTTGGAAACAAGTAATAGTCGCTTGGGGCCATGTCTGGGTTGTAGGGTGGGTGGCGCAGTTGTTCAACATGCAATATGGCTTGTGAGCACGGGCGCATTGTCGTGCAACAGGAGCACTCCTTTTGTAAGCTTTCTTCGCCTTTTTTCCTTAATAGCTTCTTTTAAATGATTTAGTAAAGAAGCATAGTATTCTCCCGTTATGGAAACACCACGTTCCTTATAATCAATCAAAGGGTACCTTATGTATCCCAAAAGATAGTCGCCATGATCTTTCCGGCTCATTGAGACACCTTATACTTCTTAGGGGGGTGTGACTTTTATGCCACTGCATAGACTCTTGCTTTGATTCAGGTTCATAATGATGAACCCAAGTTTCATCGCCAGTTTCAATTCGGGCCATAACTTCCTGTTATGCTCCTGTTCCTGTTATGCTCTCCACAGCGGTCCAAAAACTCGCTACAACTTTCGACGCGCTCGTGTTTTTGATGTGCAGAAAGCATTCTCGGAACCGAACTTGCACAGATTAGTCATGCCAAGGTGTTGATGTAGGATTTTTAAAATGGTTGTTTCTGATACTCCAACTGATGCAAGCTGTTTTTCTTTAGCCGGGCATCTTCCGATACAAGTTTTTCAACTTTTTCGATTATTTCTAGCGTGGTAGCCTCAATCGGGCGTCCACGTCGGGTCGTCTTCAATGGAGTTCCTCCCTTGTTTGAAAAGGGCGTGCCATTTATAAATAATAGTTTTCCGAGCGGAGTCCCCATAAGCAGCTGACATCTCTTGAAAAATGGTTTGAGGTGTCTTTCCTTGATTGCGAGAAACTTAATGACGGCACTATATTGAATTTTCTCCATAGTGGCTAGTTTCTTCCTGATTGATTTGTTTACTCGTTGATAACTCAAAAGCTAATGACCCGATTAGGCTGAAACTTGGTATATACAGGATTATTTTGCAATTACCGGGCCAAATTTGCAGAGAGGTTTCAGTATAAGCTGTATAAGTAATATAGGCAAATGGTGAAGAAAAATTAATTAAAAAAATCTCAAACATTCTGTCATTATTATCTCTTAAATTCAAAATACGTGGTAATGCATTCATTATTTTAACTGACTTTCATTCATAAACATTTACCATTTTATGCACGCACACAGTCGTAAAGCCCGGTTTCCACCGCGAGCGGAACGGACCCATTAATTACTCCTTTTACCTCGCAATACGAAACTGCATATATATGTTTCCACCAACAAAGAGTCGAGTGGAATTAACAACGTGCAAAGAGTAAAAATGAGCTGCGGACTCGGACCGGAGTCATTAATGAGTCCTTTCAACTCGCAATTGAATTTTACAAAGTAGTGTTTCCACCGAAAAAGCGCAGCGGACCAAACGAGTAACATGTGTCCGCTGCGTCGCGGTCTCGCAGTCTAGTTCGACGGACTACGGACTGACGGACTCGCTCGACACTGTGGTTTTAAAATTTAAATTTTAAAATGTCGGCCTATACAAATGACAAAAGTTCTTGAAATTGTTCTCTGTTAACCCTGTAATAGTTCTTAAATTTATCGTCGTCCAAATTATTGAATAGCCTATATTCCCCTTTCAACGTTTTTTCTCGAATGTGCCGACATAACCAAAATCTCCGTTTTGCACGTTTTTTTCTGTGCTTAAGATATAATAATATATACTTTTTTTTTCAGTATGCATAATAAATGCATAAGTGCCAGTTCCATAAGTCATCCAAAAAAATTGGAAATACGAGAATATTGGATTTTTAATTAAACATTTGTTCAAATTTGGATATATAGGCATCTACATTTCTCATCAATTAAGACTCAAAATGCAGAACTTTTAAGAACAGAACTTAGAACTAAGATGGAATGCCACATTTTCAGTAAAAAGGGTCGCCGTTTCTTTATACTCACCATATTTTTTAAGAATATAAATCAATAAAACATGCATAATCACTGTCCTCACGTGATTCCGTGTCACTCGATAACATCGCGAATTCACATAACAAAACACTACCGCACGTAACCTGTTCAAAACTCCAACTGAACTCGCTCTCTGTGGAAATTGACTATTCATTTCCCATTTCTCATATTCCGTTCAGCTCGCTCCGCTGTTTCCTATCTGTCGTTTTCTGTTTGCAGAGGAAATCAACAGGCAAAACTCTTTGTTGTTGGGAATGCAAACCTATTTTGTTTGAAAGGAGTCCGTTCCGCTTACCATTTCCCACTCATTACCCTTCCGCGGTGGAAATCGGGCTTAAGGGTACTTTGTAGCGAATCGTTTTTTCGAATGGCTCTACCACGTATAAAATCGAATTTTATACGTGGTAGAGCCATGCTGCAGCTATATTATGGTTGTAGCACGAATGGGTCGGCTCGACCGGGGAAGAACCACGCTCTCACAGAAAACCAGCGTAAAATAGCAGCTTAACGCTGCTGTGTTTCGTATGGTGAGTGTAGAGAACCGGAGACCCTTTTTACTGGCAAAGAGGCATTCCATCTTAGTCCTCACGGGTGACAACGCATCTGCATCTTGAGTCTTTATTGAGGATAGATGTAGATGTCTATGGGTCACAGTAACCACTTACCATCAGGTGAACTGTGTGCTCGTTTGTCACCCGATCCTATAAAAAAAAAAAAAAAAAAAAAAAAAAGAATCTCCCCTCCCACCCCCCGCTCTTTTTTTTACTTACATTATATATTTTTATATGTGTATATATATATATACACACACACACACATATATGTATGTATATATATATATATATATATATATATATATATTATACATATACATTACACATGGAGACATTACACAAAGGAGAAGGAGCTCCACGAGAGGTTCTACAAGGCCTTTCGTATGTTGTGTTCATGAGCCTTTCGTAGATACGGTCGCCTTCACTGGCTACGCTTCGGTGATCTCTTTGGGGGTAACCGAGAATTTTGACTTTGCGATACAGGATCAGGTTATTAAGGCCAACAACTATCGGAGATACATCCTAAAGGATGGCGCCGTCGACATCTGTCTAGCTTGTCGCTATCCCGGTGAGTCACTTAGGCATGTCATTTCCGGTTGTTCGGCTGTTTCTAACTCTGAGTACTTGTACAGACACAATCTAGTAGCCAGGATTCTACACCAGGAACTCGCTCTGAAATACGGTCTCGTGAATCAGAAACTGCCTTATTATAAGTACATGCCGGAAGCCGTGCTCGAAGATGACCGCGCCAGGCTCAACTGGGATTAATCTTGCGAATAAACCTGATATTGTGTTGATGGATCGGGCACAGACCATTTACCATTCCGTATGACGAGAACCTCGTGAAAGCCGAAACAGATAAGAAAACAAAATATCTGGACCTGGCTCACGATGTGACCTACATGTGGGGTGGTCTGCCGTCCGAAATTATTCCTGTTATCGTTTCTGCGAACGGGATATTCCCGATCAGCCTCTCGGGTAATCGGAGGCGACTAGGACTCCGTGACGGACCGCTTCGTGCTCGTGTCAAGTTGGCCAAGATAATCTTTATCATCATGTTTTCCTGCAGGGAAGAGTTGGAGTGGGGTGAGAGTGTTGGAGGGGGAGGGGTGGCGGGGAGCAGCGGGTGCAAGGTGACGGTGCTCGTGTTCCGCGACGGCGAGCGCCTCAATATGCTGCGCGTGCGAGAGAACCGAGACGGCACCTATTCACCACTGGACCACGCCAAGTGTGAGCACCACCCTTTATTACAGTTTTAGACCTCCAACCTAAATAATGTAAATATATATATAAAAACCGTGTAGTGGCAGTGTAAAAATATTCACTACCTTATGTCATCCCATGGTTGTTGTAAGAGGTAACAAAGGGAAACAAATTAGGATATGAGCAGCAGTGTCTTCCTAATAACGACTAGACAAAAAAACTGCGACTGCGAAGCAGCCTGTCAAGTGTGGCAAATATGGCAAATATCCCCTCCATATCGGCAATCTATACGGGAGGTTTATGTTTAGCAGTGGACTTAGCCTAGACGTATAACATTATAGTTTTTAAATTTAAATTTTTTTTTCTGAAGTGAAACTTCTTTATCGACGTAGTGAAGAAATTTAGTACGACTTTAAAAAACAAAATTTTCACGTTTTCTTGTAACGTTTTTTCTTTTTATCGGATAGGAGTGACAAACGAGCACACAGTCCACCTGATGGTAAGTGGCTGCTGTGGCCCACAGACATCTACATCTATCGTCGATTACGAATCAAAATGCAAATGCGTTGTCACCCGTGAGGACTAAGATGTACTGCCTCGTTTCCAGTAAAAAGGGTGTCCGGTTCTCTACACTCACCATATGAAACACAGCTGCATTAAGCTGCTATTTTACGCTGGTATTCTGTGAGAGCGTAGTCCTTTCCCGGTCAAGCCGACCAATTCGTGCTACAACTATACTACTAATATAGCTGCAGCATGGCTCTACCATGTACAAACACGTTTTACCACCAAGGGCCCCATGAGAATACTATTATTTAACCTACTTATTGTAAAATATAAAATGAAAGAAGAATGGTGTTTCGTTAAGAAGTTTCACTTCGTATGTGTGTACACAATTTAAAAAAAAAATTAAAATTAAAAAAAGCCTTTTATTTCTTGCTTCAAAGTAGAGATTTACAATTTAAAAGTGTAACAGTGTTTATTACTTTTGATAGTTAGGTGCTTGTAATAGACTAATAGAACAAGATAGCAGAACTATATCGTCAGCAAATCTGAGATGACTCTGGTAACATCCATTTATGTTTATGCCGACTTTCTCCCAGTTCATTTTGCGAACGATGGACTCAAGCACCGCTATAAAGATTGTTGGTGAGACTGGGCCTCCATCCTTACACCTGTTTTAATTTGTATGAGTGGCCCAGTGGTCTCCAACTTCACTGTGATATTACCGTTGTTATAGATGTTTTTTAGGACTTGTATGTAGTCCAATGCTACTTGAGAGACTAGAGCTTCCCAAATCGATGAGTGGAGTAGAGTGTCGAAGGCTTTTTAATAATCAATAAAGACAGCATAGAGTGGTCTGTTGAACTCTTAGAATTTTTCTATTATCATCTCTAGCGAGTGTCAACAGTGGAAAAACCTTGTCTGAAGCCCGTCTGTTCTATAGGTTGGAAGTTTTCTGTGGTTTCTTTTATTTTTTAGGGTTCTGTCCCTCAAAAGGAAAAAACGGAGCCCTTAAAGGATCACTTTGTTGTCCGTCTGCCTGTCTGTCCGTCAAGACCCTTTTTGGACGCGTCAGGAACGCGTGGAGGTATCAAGCTGAAATTGATATCAAATACTTAAGTCCTTTGGAGCTGTGAAAAAATCAAACTTCTAAGCCAACGCAATCAAAAGATACAGCCGTTTACAGGGTACTACCCGTGTACTCAGAATCTTTAAATTTGATACGAAGCAACGTTTTATAGCACAGATAAAGGAAAAATTGCGAAAAGCATATATTTTTAGTTACATCATATTATAATAAAAATATTTTTAATAATTTTAAACTTATATACCTACGGATTTGTTCGGAACCCTCGGTGCGCGAGTCTGACTCGCACTTGGCCGGTTTTTTTCTCAATTTATCAGTCTGTAATTACTGATGTTGTTTGGGTCTCCTTTTTTTGTAGAGCAAAATTATTTGACGTGGGGTGTTTTTGCAATTCAGTATCATGTTGAACAGGTTAGAGGTTTGACTAGATAAACGAGTCCTGTTTTTATAGCCTCGCTGGTGATTCCGGGCTTTTATCTATTTTTAGTGCTTTAATTCTTTTAACCACTTTGCCTTCATCAATGCTTGCTTTCGCATCGTCTGCACTACTCAGTAATTTATATAGTGGTAGCTTAGGTGAGCTATAAATATTTTTGTAGAAATCTGTAGCTATTTTTAGTATTTCCGTTCTATTTTGTGTGTTCTTATTTTTGCTTTTCAACTCTTCAATCCATGATTTATGTGTTCCTAATTCCTTGTACGCTTTCCAGGCGCTCCCTGCAGCATGAAGACATTTTTCTATGGTTTGTGTGCGCTGTGCTTTATAGTTTTGGTTAATTAGTTATAAGCTTGTAGAGATTTTAATTCATTTTTCATAGCCCTTGATTTCGGTTTTGTTTTTTGTATTTCTTGTCTTTTGCTGATTAGTGCCTTTGTGCGTACTGATATTATTTGGTTTTTCTCTGTGTTTGTGTTAGATATTCATGCCGTGTAGTGGCGGTCAAGAATATCCACTACCCCATATCCTCCCGTGGGTGTCGTAAAAGGCGACAAAGGGAAACAGCCAGGAGATGGGCAGCAGCATCTTCCTGATAATAGCCAAATCACAATAAAAAAACTGCGGTTGCCAACCCGCTCGCCAAGCGTGGCAACTATGGCAAATACCCCCCAATGATGAGAGCAACAAAAAAACGGCCCCCAGTCCCCGGCGGCCCCGCTATTCCTGGCTACGGTGGCGACCATGGTAACGGCGGGGCAGGGGGTGCTAAGAATCTCCGGTGGAGGTTCGGTTGCCACCTTAGACGACTCGACCTGGCAACGTACAACGCACGCACCCTGAGGACTGACGAGAAGATCGTGGAGCTGGAAGAAGAGATAGACAAGTTGCGCTGGCATATTATAGGATTATCCGAAGTCCGAAGAGAGGGGGAGGACACGGTAATCCTCGAATCCGGCAACTTGCTCTATCACCGGGAGGGCGACCATCTGTCCCAAGGAGGTGTCGGATTTATCGTCCACAAGTCTCTCGTTAACAACGTTGTAAAAATCAGGAGTGTGTCGACGAGGGTTGCGTACCTTATACTCAGAATCACCAAACGGTATTCGCTGAAGGTCATACAGGTATACGCACCAACCTCGGCACACCCCGATGAGGAGGTGGAGGAAATGTATGAGGATATCTCTAGAGCCATGCATTCCTCCAAAACCCAATATACGGTGTTAATGGGAGACTTCAATGCAAAACTAGGCACAAGAGAGAACGGTGAGCTGAAAGTAGGGAAATTTGGAATAGGGCAACGGAACCCAAGGGGCCAGCAGCTGGCCGACTTCATGGAGAAAGAGGGACTCTTTATGATGAACTCTTTCTTCCAGAAGCGGCCCCACAGGAAGTGGACCTGGTCGAGCCCCGACGGTTCCACAAAAAATGAGATTGACTTCATTATGACGACCAGACGACAACTGTTCAGTGATGTCTCCGTGATCGCGAGGGTGAAAACTGGTAGCGATCACCGAATGGTTAGAGGCACACTGAACCTAAACGTTAAGTTGGAGAGGTCTCGTCTAATGAAGTCAACGCTCCGTCCCCCTCGTGCTCTGTTCCAAAGTCCCGAAACCTTTCAGCTCGAGTTACAAAACCGTTTTCAGTGCCTGGAAGACTGCAATGAAGTGGACGATATGAATGACAAGCTCGTGGAAACTGTCCATGCGGGTGGAGCTAAGTTCTGCAAGACCCGCCGCAGAAGAACACAAAAACTCTCCGATCACACTCTTAATCTCATGGCTGTTAGACGGGAGATGAAGCTACATTCTTCAACAGACTTGACAGCATACAGGCATCTGAACAGACAGATCTCCAAATGCATGCGGCGGGACTTACGCAACTTCAATACAGCTCGTATTGAAGAAGCGATCGAGCGGAACCAAGGCTCCAAAGTCTTTGCCAGAGATCTGTCTGCCAGAAAGAGCCAACTGTCAAAGCTGAAGACAGAATGTGGCAGCATCGTTTCCGGGACACCTGAGATTTTGAGTGAGATTGAGAGGTTCTATGGGCAGCTGTACACATCATCGTTGGAGCCACACGCAAGTGTGAGTAACGATCCAAGAGCGAGTCTCATCCGACACTATTCCGAAGATATCCCGGATGTCAGTCTGAGCGAGATTAGGATGGCTCTCCAGCACCTTAAAAACGGTAAGGCCCCAGGCGAGGATGGAATTACAGCAGAGCTTCTGAAAGCGGGTGGAAGACCGGTACTTGAAGTCCTTCAGAAGCTCTTTAATTCCGTCCTCCATGGTGGCATTACACCGGAGGCGTGGAGCAGAAGTGCGGTGGTCTTGTTCTTCAAGAAAGGTGACAACGCTCTCTTGAAGAACTACAGACCGATTTCCCTTCTGAGCCGCGTCTACGTGCTGTTTTCGAGAGTCATTACGAATCGTCTCGCGCGCAGACTTGACGACTTCCAGCCTCCCGAACAAGCCGGTTTCCGAAAGGGCTTTAGCACCATAGACCACATACATACCCTTCGGCAAGTTGTACAGAAGTCCGAAGAGTACAATTTGCCACTATGTCTGGCGTATGTGGACTATGAGAAAGCCTTTGATTCCGTCGAAATTTGGGCGGTGCTGCAGTCCCTTCAGCGGTGCCAAGTTGACTGTCGGTATATCGAAGTGTTGAAGTGCTTGTACAGTAGGGCTACGATGGCTATCCGAGTACAGAACCAGAGTACGAAACCTATCCAATTGCAGAGAGGTGTAAGACAGGGTGACGTCATATCCCCGAAACTCTTCACCGCTGCATTGGAAGACGTTTTCAAGCTTCTGGACTGGAAAGGATACGGTATCGACATCAATGGCGAGTACATCACTCACCTTCGATTAGCCGACGATATAGTCCTTATGGCAGAATCGCTGGAGGACCTAAGCACTATGCTCAATGACCTCAATAGTGTTTCCCAACGGATAGGTCTTAAGATGAACATGGACAAAACTAAGATCATGTTTAATGTCCATGTCACACCTATGCCGGTAGTTGTTGGGAACACTAAGCTCGAAGTTGTTGACGAGTATGTTTACCTGGGACAAATAGTCCGACTGGGTAAGTCCAACTTCGACCGAGAGGTCAATCGACGGATTCAACTCGGCTGGGCAGCGTTCGGGAAGCTACGACACATCTTCTCGTCAGACATACCTCAAAACCTTAAAACGAAATTGTACAACCAGTGCGTGTTGCCAGTGATGACTTACGGAACTGAGACGTGGTCCTTCACTGCTGGCCGTATGAGGAAGCTTAAGGTCGCTCAGCGAGCTATGGAGAGGGCTATGCTCGGAGTTTCTCTGCGTGATAAACTTAGGAATGAGGATATCCGCAGTAGAACCAGAGTGACCGACATAGCCCAACGGATTAGTAAGCTGAAGTGGCAGTGGGCCGGCCATATAGCTCGAAGAACCGACAACCGATGGGGAAGAAAGGTTCTCGAGTGGCAGCCTCGTACCGGTAGGCGAAGTGTAGGGCGTCCCCCCACGAGATGGAGTGACGACCTGGTAAGACATGCAGGAAGTCGATGGATGCAGGTGGCTCAGGACCGTGTTTTGTGGCATTCTTTGGGGGAGGCCTATGTTCAGCAGTGGACTTGTGAAGGGCTGTAATGAAAAAAAAAAATGTGTTAGATGTTGACTCATGTGCTTTTTTCAGGCTGATATCTATTGCGTTTGTTATTTTATCATAGCAAATCTGGACAGTGTCTTTGTCATTCCAGTAGTCTAACAGATTTGCTGAGCATCTGTTCAGCGATTCAACGTTGGTTTTCACTTCTTCATTCTTTAACTGGGATCTGGAGCGTTTACCAAACTTGCTACGATTTTTTTAACCTTGAAAGAATACTGAACGCTGCCCTAACAGGTATGTGTTCTGTATTTTTTCAGGTGGTTTTTGTTAATAAAGTTTACTTCATATAATCCTGGCGTTTCTCCAATGTGGTAGAAAATAAACTGATCATGTTCCTCTATTTTGTTACCCAGTTTTCTGACTTCTGGGAGACCAATAATATCGTACTTTACGGTTTTTAAAGATTCTGTTAGTTCCAGTAGTCGTGAATAAATCGATAGGGTTTTAACCTTGTAGGTCGATATATATATATAGGGTGTTAGAATAATAGTTTTGAGTAGTGTTTGAAGAACCTGCTAATGTTTCCTCTGGAGGGATTCGGTCGTAATCTTCCGCGGGGACCAGCCGGCTTGGAAGATGTGGTTTAGTGTTCGTGTTTATTTGTAGTGTGTTTTCCGTGAGAGAGGGCGGCAATTGCTATTGTTCATTATTTGTTTGTTTGGTCGTATGGTAGGTTGTTTTGGTTGTTAGTGGTTTGGTTTTTGGTTGTTAGGAAACAGTATTCCTGGTTTAATAACTCCCTCTGATAAATTTGTCGATCTTCGTAATGCTGTTTGAGTTTTGTTCTTTTTATTAGCTTGTGTCTTTGGTTCTGGTTGCGTAAAATCATTTTGGTTTGGTGATTTTGGTAGAGTTCTTTTCTTGTTGTCTGATGTTTCTGTATTTTTGTGGTGTGTTATCAGTTTGTCGTATTTGATAGTGGCGGAGTTTTCTTTCTTTTTTTCAATTTTTGCTTGCTCTTGTAGTTCCTTCCTTTTTTCTAAAATATGTTGTGGAAAATCTTCTTTTATATATATATATATAAGTGGTATCTTTTAATACTCTCCTCTGTTTAAAGATTTCTATTTTTGTGCCCAATGAAGTAAAACTTACGGTAATCGGCCGTGGTTTTTCGCCTTTCTTCCCTATTCACTTAGTTTCTTATATGTCTCTAGCCCTACACAGAAGTATTGATTTATGAAACTTACTACGGTTTTTTCTAAATTTGCATACGATGTTTCCACTAAGCCAAAAATTACGCTGTTCCTCCGTCTTTTCTAGAAAGTATAATCTTTTTTCTTAGTTTTCCAGCTTATCTTCGAGGTTTTCGTATTTTATATCTATTTCTTTGATCTTTTCCTTCAATGTGTAGTTTATATTTTGCGTAACTTGTTCCGTAACTTTGTTGTTAGCTGACTGTACAATTGTTGCTTTATGTTCATTCAGCTCATTTTGAATTTGCCTAAGCATATTCATAATTTCCTCCATGATTGTCGGATATATTTTACGATAATGTAGTGTTGTGAATATTTTTAGTTTTGTTTTGCAACTTGTGTTGCCCTCTTTTGGCTCGACTAGGAAATAGAGAACGGGACAGCCGTTTGGTGCGTGACAGTCTTTATAGTTTTGAGTATTGTCTCTAGATGACACTGTATTGTTGATCGACAATTGCAAAATCATGCATTAATTTTATTGTTTTTCGTAAGTTTTGCACTTGAATAATGTAAATTATAGTTTTTGCATATCGTTCGTTTGTTTGTAGACCACTGTTAACAATCTAATGCGGGAAATGTTGTTAATAGTTCAGTTTTGAGGTCTTTTTCACTTCACTGTTTTGCGCGTATAATAATTTGTTATTTACTGTTTTTGGGCCTTGTACGTAATGTTTTTCGATAGTCACTTGTTTATTATTCCATTGCACTTGTTTTCAATGTTAAATATTATTTGTTTATATTTTTATTTTATACTAATGTTGATGTTGATAATGATGTTTATGTGAATGTTTGATAATGATGTTTATCGTGGCTCAGGAGCGCCCTCTCTCGTGTACACAATTACGCGCAATTATTTTTGAATGTTGACTCCCACACAAGGATTTTCGCCTGTATTGTAAAAGCAGTATACATAAATTGCACAAGGATAAACATCCAGACTTATAACACTTATTTGTAGGCCATACAAATATTTGTTCTGTCTCTTTTATAGGTTTAAGTGCTTTTTTATATCCACATTATATCCCACAGATTATCACTGCGACAGGATCCTGTTTGACATCACACAACTGCATTATTAGTAATTTGTAATTTGTATTTACTAGGAATTTTTGTTTGTTAATGTTAAACTAAACTAGTTTATGAAGTCTTCTGTCGTTTTGGAGTACCCTTAGAGATTCACAGCGATCAAGGAAATCTTAGGAATCTTAGCCCTCACGAGTGACAACGCATCTGCATTTTGATTTTATAAAGAGGTAGATGTAGGTGTCTATGGGTCACAGCAACCACTTACCATCAGGTGGACTGTTTGCTCGTTTGTTACCCTATACTATAAAAAAAAATGTTGTGTTGGTATATAAATAAATGTTTGTTTGTTTTCGCAGATGGGTCGTCCGTGTCGCAGTTGGCAGAGCGGTCTGCGGAAGGTTGTGCGGGCGGGGCGGGGCTGCAGGAGAACGCGGTGACGATGGGCAAGATGCTGGAGCTGCGCCGCCGCATGCACTCGCTCACGCTGCAGCGCCGCGCGCCCGCGCCGCGCCCAGGTCCTCGCCACACTACACTGCCTTGTCTTCCGCACCCACCGACCCACCGACCCACCGACCCTGTCTGCGCCAACACAGTACACTCTCATACTCTGATGGGACGGTAATCCGACACGATCGCAGAGAGATCGGGCGCAGGACCGACGGTTTTACATGCTTTCCGATGCAAAGGGGTGAAACACCAGCTTCCTGACTCCTGACTGCTATTAAAAATTTCTTGTCAGAAATACCCGATTACTCATTTTGAACCGACCTGGGATTCAAACTCACGACCTCATGATCAGCAATTGCATTTAAAGCCATTAGTCTATCGAGGCACTCATCCCAATAAATAGTATTTATCCCACCGCAAGCAGACAGGTTACATTTATTCAACACCCCATTCTAGTTTGTCCATCACCCCATTTTATCCCCGAAGTGGCGTAAGCGACAATGCAGGAGATTTCAGAAAAAATTGTGATGGCTTAGTAACACTGTGGCTTAACACTTGGTTATGATACAACAGGGATATAAATTCTTATCCCACACAGAACAAATATACAGTCCATAGCCAGCTGTAAGAGACGTATATAGACTGTAGCTTCGAGACAACTACATGGCAATGAGTTTCTGCGCTGAGTGTCACGGATTAGAATCCCGGACAGAGGGATTTTGGCGGGAACTTGACCGGCGGCAGTTTACTGCTCCTGTATTATCGTTTAAATAATGGTTTGAAGTGTATTTTCATATGTAAAAATGGTACGATTTTGTGTGTTGTCTGTGCATGTGAACTACTATTAGAAATGGTGAAACAAGTGTTCTGATGGTGATGTGATTCTCAAAATAAGGTGTCTGTTTGCTTAAGCGCTTTAAAATACCATCGCCAACTATCAGCTGTCTGCTGGCTCAAGTTGCCGTCAAAATCACCCAAGGGCTGCACAATGTGAAGCAGTATACTATGAAGGATGATTATACAATGTAACTTCAGACTCAGAAGACCTAGAATCCAGAGCCCTGAAGCCGGTTATAAAAAAAAAACCCGGATAGAACAAATCCGCCTGCCAAGCATGACAATTAAAACAAAATAAAAATTAAGTTATGGTAATGTTTTTGTATAATATTTTTAGATTATAATACGTATTTCTATATGTTCTTCATGTTTATGCAAATACTATAAAAAATCTACTGTTAATTTTGACAAATATGTCATTATTACATAGATCTTACAAACAACATTTGTTTGCCGAAAACAGGTGACAAACCGGAAATACAGAAGACAAGAAGTGAAGAAACCCTATCCGTCCCTAGTTTGCTAGACGACTCCGCGGCCGAGGCGTTCTCGACTCGAACCTACACCCCGTTCGGTGAGGCCGAGGACACATTCGCGCCGCTCTACGATGGCCACTACACAAGATACGATTACGACTGTTCCTTCGCTGACAGATACACCCTGCTCCCTCCGATTGGTACTCGGACTGATTCCAATCAGTCGTTGCAAGATACTATTAGAGAGAGTGAAAGGTAATTTCTATTATAATGTAATTTTTATTTAATATACATTACAAGAATACTTACGAAAGTGAATTAAGCTTTACCACTGGTTAGGAAAAAAAAAACTGTTCTGGAAAGAACCAGCACAAAACCAGCGAGACTGTTTTAAACATTAGTTTACAATATAGTATATGAATTTACATACTTTATTTGCATTTAATTTTATATGTGGTAGAGCCATGCTGCAGCTATATTAGTAGTATAGTTGTAGCACGAATGGGTCGGCTCGACCGGGGATGTACCGCGCTCTCACAGAATACCAGCGTAAAATAGCAGCTTAACACTGCTGTGTTTCGTATGGTGAGTGTAAAGAACCGGAGACCCTTTTTACTGGAAAGGAGGAATTCCATCTTAGTCTTCACGGGTGACAACGCATTTGCATTTTGATTACGAATCGAGGATAGATGTAGATGTCTATGGGCCACAGCAACCACTTACCATCAGGTGGACTGTGTGCTCGTTTGTCAATCTTATACTATAAAAAAATTAAATTAACATCGACCAGCACATGAGATGTAAACTGCTGCGTGAGATTCATCAAACATTATTCCATTGAACATTTATAATTATTTGTATGGTACGTTATTTAAAATTATAACTCGTGAATTTAGTAGGATATAATACTTCTAAAACTTTCTCTTTTAACAGTCGCAAATCATTTAATGAATGGGCCACAGTAGGAATTTATAAAAGTAGGCGAAAGTTATACGAGCTTTATAATGAAAGATCATATAATAGTAGTGTTATATTTAGAGATTATGTAAAAACATATTCTAAAATATTTAATAAAGTGTGCTCCACAGCTAAGGCTTTACATTTAAGTAACAAAATTAAAACTGCATCTAACAAAATTAAAATGACCTGGAGAATAATAAATAGTGAAACGGACAAGGTCAAACCGCGCAACTCGGATTTCCAATTGAATATTAACAATAATTTAACGCGTTCTGATCAAGAAGTTGCTATGGCTTTTGAGAAACATTTTACTGATGTTCCTTTTTTGACAACAAAATCATTAAATTCTTCTCCTACTGTCGCCGAATCATTGCTCAAACAAAATGTAAAGGCTTGTTCAAATACTTTTAAATTCCATAAAGTACTGCCAAAAGATATCGTTAAATATTTTAAAACTATTGATCTTAAGAAAACGGCAGACTTATGGGGGATCTCGAAAGTTATTTTATCTATAATAGATATATTAGCACCTTATCTAACCACTATATCTAATATAAGCGTCGAATCTGGTGTGTTTCGTGATTTAATGAAAAATAGTAAAGTCCATACCTATATTTAAATCTGGTAGTACATTAGGCCCCGCCAATTTTAGACCAATTTCTGTACTACCAACATTTAGTAAAATTTTTGAAAAAATTATTTTAGATCAGATGTTACGTTTCTTTAATATTAATAAATTGCTACATAGAAATCAATTCGGTTTTACAAGGGGTCGCTCAACAACTGACGCTGGAGTTGAGCTTATTAAACATATTTTTGTGCATTTGAGAATTCAGAGGATGCTTTGGGTATATTTTGTGACCTTTCCAAGGCCTTCGACTACGTTCACCATGAGACATTAATCAGGAAGCTACAGTACTATGGTGTCAAGAACACAGCGCTTAAACTTATTATTTCATATTTAAGTAATAGAATGCAGAAAGTTATTATCAATGGTAAAAGTTCTTCTGGGTCATCTGTACTAATGGGTGTCTCTTGGGGCTCGATTCTCGGCCCATTCCTGTTTCTAGTGTATATTAATTACTTACCTTCTCTTGTAGAGGATAATCATGATATAGTATTATTTGCTGATGATACTTTCTTGATCTTTAAACTTAAACGTCAATTATAAAGTCATTTAAATGTGACGGAGTGATTAATGCTATATCAAAATCAGTGCATTAGTTTAACGTTAATAATCTACATTTAAACGGAAATAAAACTAAATGTATTAAATTTACAACAACGAATGTTAAAAATCTGAGTACCAATGTGTTTTTAAATGGGGAAGAACTGAGCCCTGTTGAATCCACTGTTTTTCTTGGCATCACTCTCGACGCAAAGCTTCAGTGGGGCCCCCATATATCCAAACTAGCAAGCAGACTAAGTTCTGCAGCCTATGCTGTAAAAAAGATTAGAGGTCTCACTAGTGTCGAGACAGCTAGATTAGTTTATTTCAGTTATTTCCATAGTATAAAATGTCTTATGGGATTTTGCTATGGGGAAATGCGGCTGATTCAGAAACTATTTCTGTTTTACAGAAGAGGGCCATTAGAGCTATTTACAACCTAAAACCGAGAGAGTCTCTTAGATATAAATTTAAAGACATAAATATATTAAGTTTGGCCTCTCAGTATATTTACGAAACTTTAATGTATGTTCACAAAAACAAAGGTAGTTTTAGTAAAAAAAAGTGATATACATTCTGTAAACACTAGGAACAAACACAAGCTAGTGATGCCAGTTTCTCGACTCCACAGAGTCAGTAATTCATTCTTGGGGCAATGTATACGCTATTACAACAAGGTCCCGGAAAGTGTACAGGCTCTCTCTATTACCAAGTTTGAATGTTTTGTTAAGTTGAAACTGTATAAAAAGGGTTATTATAGTATAAATGTTTGCCGTGTAGTGGCGGTTAAGAATATCCACTACCCCATATCTTCCCGTGGGTGTCGTAAAAGGCGACAAAGGGAAACAGCCAGGAGATGGGCAGCAGCATCTTCCTGATAATAGCCAAATGACAATAAAAAAAAAAACTGCGGTTGCCAACCCGCTCGCCAAGCGTGGCAACTATGGCAAATACCCCCCAATGATGAGAGCAACAAAAAAACGGCCCCCAGTCCCCGGCGGCCCCGCTATTCCTGGCTACGGTGGCGACCATGGTAACGGCGGGGCAGGGGGTGCTAAGAATCTCCGGTGGAGGTTCGGTTGCCACCTTAGACGACTCGACCTGGCAACATACAACGCACGCACCCTGAGGACTGACGAGAAGATTGTGGAGCTGGAAGAAGAGATAGACAAGTTACGCTGGCATATTATAGGATTATCCGAAGTCCGAAGAGAGGGGGAGGACACGGTAATCCTCGAATCCGGCAACTTGCTCTATCACCGGGAGGGCGACCATCTGTCCCAAGGAGGTGTCGGATTTATCGTCCACAAGTCTCTCGTTAACAACGTTGTAAAGATTGAGAGTGTGTCGACGAGGGTTGCGTACCTTATACTCAGAATCACCAAACGGTATTCGCTGAAGGTCATACAGGTTTACGCACCAACCTCGGCACACCCCGATCAGGAGGTGGAGGAAATGTATGAGGATATCTCTAGAGCCATGCATTCCTCCAAAACCCAATATACGGTGTTAATGGGAGACTTCAATGCAAAACTAGGCACAAGAGAGAACGGTGAGCTGAAAGTGGGGAAATTTGGAATAGGGCAACGGAACCCAAGGGGCCAGCAGTTGGCCGACTTCATGGAGAAAGAGGGACTCTTTATGATGAACTCTTTCTTCCAGAAGCGGCCCCACAGGAAGTGGACCTGGTCGAGCCCCGACGGTTCGACAAAAAATGAGATTGACTTCATTATGACGACCAGACGACAACTGTTCAGTGATGTCTCAGTGATCGCGAGGGTGAAAACCGGCAGCGATCACCGAATGGTTAGAGGCACACTGAACCTAAACGTTAAGTTGGAGAGGTCTCATCTAATGAAGTCAACGCTCCGTCCCCCTCGTGCTCTAATCCAAAGTCCCGAAACCTTTCAGCTCGAGTTGCAAAACCGTTTTCAGTGCCTAGAAGACTGCAATGAAGTGGACGATTTGAATGACAAGCTCGTGGAAACTGTCCATGCGGTCGGAGCTAAGTTCTGCAAGACCCGCCGCAGAAGAACACAAAAACTCTCCGATCACACTCTTAATCTCATGGCTGTTAGACGGGAGATGAAGCTACATTCTTCAACAGATTTGACAGCATACAGGCAACTGAACAGACAGATCTCCAAATGCATGCGGCGGGACTTACGCAACTTCAATACAGCTCGTATTGAAGAAGCGATCGAGCGGAACCAAGGCTCCAAAGTCTTTGCCAGAGATCTGTCTGCCAGAAAGAGCCAACTGTCAAAGCTGAAGACCGAATGTGGCAGCATCGTTTCCGGGGCACCTGAGATTTTGAGTGAGATTGAGAGGTTCTATGGGCAGCTGTACACGTCATCGTTGGAGCCACACGCAAGTGTGAGTTACGATCCAAGAGCGAGTCTTATCCGACATTATTCCGATGATATCCCGGACGTCAGTCTGAGCGAGATTAGAATGGCTCTCCAGCACCTTAAAAACGGCAAGGCCCCAGGCCAGGATGGAATTACAGCGGAGCTTCTGAAAGCGGGTGGAAAACCGGTACTTGAAGTCCTTCAGAAGCTCTTTAATTCCGTCCTCCATGGTGGCATTACACCGGAGGCGTGGAGCAGAAGTGCGGTGGTCTTGTTCTTCAAGAAAGGCGACAACGCTCTTTTGAAGAACTACAGACCGATTTCCCTTCTG